TTAGAGTGGCTCAGGTTTCCTGGACAGGGCCGCCTTTTACAGGTGTCCTTTTCTATCTCTGCTTCTGTCTCCTTGAACCCCAGTCGGCCTCAGCAGATGGCCGCTCACACTGAGCCTGGTTCTGCTGGAGGTTTCTTCCTTTTAAATGGGAGTTTTTCCTCTCCACTGTCACTACAGGCATGCTTAGTCTCAGGGATTGCCTTCGAGTCAATGTGTCAATGCAATCAACTGGTTTTCCTTAGCTAGAAAACTTTAAATCAATTCTACTTGATGATCTGCTGAACTGTAAAGTGTCTTGAGATGACATGTGTTGTGAATTGGCACTATAGACCGGTCTAACTAGGGAGTACCCAATATGGCTGCCGGTGGCTTCACTCCACCCAGTACTACCAATGGGCAATCAGCAATCCAGTGAATGAATAGAGATCAGTGGCTCAACCAAGCTTAGCTGGTTTCTCCCTCAGGCTGGTAACATCAGTTTGAAGGTCACAACGGGAGTTCAACAGCACCCCCTGGTGGTTGATCTACTCAGCACTGCAGGTTAAAGTGTAAAAAATATTCCTGTTCTTGGTTCACAAAAGGAGTTTTTCTTTTTAACTGAACAAAATTTTTTTTATTAGTAAATCATCTCTGAAAGGCATTTTTAAATTGAAATTACTAAAATGGAGTAATAATGACTTTAAATCTGTTAACCAATAATATGATGGATCCTTCAGTAGCTGCTGTTTAGTCTTAATCTGGGATTGGCTGGAATAATCTTTAGGTTTCCCGTGATAGGTCAGTCTGAATTTCCTCATCGCTGTCTGGTGTTCCACCGTGGATCTCCGTGGATTGACCTGTCGACGGCAGACCCACTGTGACATCAGGTGACCTCTCCCAGCTGTAAATTCCACCTTCAGGTTTCTCAATGACAACAAACAGATCCTTCTGAAAGCGGCAGCGCCTGGCTGGGTCACCGAGAGAGACGTCTGAGGATTCTGTGGGTAGGTGAGGTCTGGACCTGCTGTCTGCTGCTGAGGAGGAGGAGGAGGGAGCTGGAGGAGGAAGAGACTGCCTCCGAGTGTACAGGCCCTGTCTGCCGTGGAAGCTGCCGGACTGCGAGGGAGCCTGATGACTGAGAGATTCATCCATGAACACCGGAGACCCAGATCTCACCTAAAGAAGAACCAGAGAATCAGTCTGAAGGAACCAAATACAGATGATCATCACCTTCTATGGTACCATGTTGTCCCCTATTCTGGCTCAAGCACAAACACAGAGCCCAAACCCAGCCAGTGACCAGTCTAAAAAAGTAAAAAAAAAAACAATCCAATTGTCAAGGGCAATCCTCATCCTCCTGCAGCAGTGTGTCGCAGTGAGCTTGTCGCAAATGTTTTTGATTTATGTCCCATTTTGAAGCGTGGTCTGTGCTATGTTATTCCATGCCAAGAGGGCCAATCAGGAACTAGCTGTGGGTCTAGATTAGTGTTGCGCCGATGCCATTTTTTGGCCCCGATACCGATACCCGATACCTGGCTGTGCAGTATGGGCCGATACCGATACCATAATAATGTAAAATAATTGCCATCATGGCTTCATGTCAAGCTGCTGCCTACCTTTGTAAAGCAGAACAAAATCTAATACAAAGTGAATCCAGTAGAACTTTTTATTGCCTACCTGGAATGGGTGACAATAGTTGAATAAACGTATGGCTCTCAAAATGGTATCGGTGCCCTATTTGTTGGTACTCGCCGATACCGATACCACCATTTTAGGGCAGTATTGGGGCCCCCTCCGATACTGGTATCGGTATCGGTGCAACATTAGTCTAGATACGGCCGAGGCGGTGAGAAAGTGGGGGCAAGTTTTTGCGACATGAGGGCGAAAAAGAGCGGGGATCCAGGTGGAAAAAGGGTCCCAGCGTTCTCGCACACCTCGCTCTTCTAGCTGGTCCAACTTCATGAGTCGTTTTCTGCTATGGTGGTCATACAAACAAAATAAGCTGGCCAGGAAATTCTCATCTCTGCATTTATCCCATCCTCTTAGGGAGCAGTGTGCTGCCATTGTTCGGCGCCCGCTGTGCAGTATGGGGTTATGGGTCTTCCTCAAGGACCCAAGATGGAGGTTATGGGGATCGAACCGATACTTGCAACCTTCTCATAGCACAATCACAATGCTCTAACCCAGGGGTGTCAAACTGGTTTCAGAAAGGGCCGTGGGGCTGCAGGTTTTCTTTCCAACCAAGCAATAGCACACTAGACTCCATCCATCTCATCAAGTGAGTCCAATCTTAACATGATGACTTGATGAGATGGATGGAGTCTAGTGTGCTATTGCTTGATTGGAAAGAAAACCTGCAGCCACATGGCCCTTACTGGAACCAGTTTGACACCCCTGCTCTAACCATTAGACCAACTCTACCCCCTAACTCTTGTAACTCTCAGAACTGCTGTCTGAGGTCCCTACAGATTTACTTTCAATAGTGGAGCATTGCGGCTCTCCTCAAAGTTGAATCGTTCTCACAAACATGGTCAGCACAGGTACTTCAGATTTGATTCACCTTTTCAACCCTTCCTAATGCCAACAGGAGGAGGTTGAGAGGGCAATCTGGCAAACTGCCCTCTGGAGGCCGTTGTAGATGTTCTACAGATCCAGTAAGTTCAATTCCAGATTTGTTGCACTGGCATGTATTTTCCTCTAAATTTGGAAAGATAAAGGAGGATGAGTAAAGCACATGTGCCGCTGCGTAAAGAACTTTAGAGAAGATGAAGGTTCCAACATAATGAAAGGTTATGTGTTAAACATAAAGCACATGTACAGTTAAAGCTTAGTCTGTCAGCAGGGGGCAGATATTTTTATCTGCTTTCTGAAAATGCAGCTGATCCTTCCCAGTTTTTTATCCCAAACTCAACTTCTCTTTGCTCCCAGGTTAACAAAGCCGTAGTCAAAGCATGCCAAAATAAACGATTCTTATCTGAGT